GAGGACAAATCTTATTGACAATATGAATGACTTTGCTAAGATTGAGCCAAATGTGTTTTGATTTTAAACTGTGCCAAAGCTTTAAAGTCAACTTTTATATAACAGAGTTTCTTAAGTAAAAATTACACATAGATATAAGTGTTAGGTATAAGCAAACCTCCATTGTCATAGAAAAATTAGTGTTGGCAACATGCCAAAGAGTCTGTTAATCTGAGGAAGAATTGACTCCTTCTCATGCAAGTAAGTTAATATCTTTTTAAAAAGAAAAGCCAAAAATGGTGTAAAATAGATATGGTACTGCACTATGCGGAACATATCAGCATTATTATCAGGATTCCAAAGTTGAAAACACTGTATCAACACTCATTGTTCTGTAAGATGCATAGGGTGGTGGGAACATCTGCTTTTTGAGGAAATGTGACTAACCCTTTAAATAAAAGATTAGATTTTGAACTTTTAGGTAACTAATGATCTTTTACTTTTCAACTTACTCAAACACAGAATTTATTGAAAGGCATTTGTTGTGCTTTGAAAAATAAGTATACCAGGTATGCACAAATTGTAAACTCAGAACCTGTGATTATATTACATTACATAACAAGACATATTAGCAAATACAATTAAAACAAGTAGTTTAACATGAGTCAGATTATCCTGGCTCTTCTTCCTAGAAACAAAGTAATGACAAGAGACTTTACAAGAGGAAAGCAAAATGGTCAGATAGTGACAGAGACCTTTAAGTGATGACATATATTTTTATCTTTGAAGATTAAAAAATGGGGCCAGGAGCCAAGCACTGCAGGCTTTCATTGCAAGCTGGAGAAGGCAAGGAAACAATTGCTCCCCTAGTGGCTCTAGAAAGTATGAAGCCCTGAGGACCTGTTCTGACCTCTATGTCCAGAATGGTAAGTTCATGACTTTGTCTTGTTTTAAGGCCCTAAGTTGGTGATGAATTTGTTACAACAAAAAACTAGCACAGTACTCTATAACCGCAAATGTGTTCCATTCAAGAAACTTTGACTCAACCATTATGCCATAAATTAATACATATTCATTTTATGTTATGTAAGTTTGTGCATAAAACATCTATATACACTTACACATATGAGTTAATAATTTTTCTTTTAATTTTCTATAGCCTTCAACTTTGCTGGAACTTAATTTTTTTTCATGAATACTAAAAAAGGTGTTATTGTGGAGTTAAAACTAAAGAACTGTTTGAAGCACGTGGAGGAATATTAGTTGTGAAAACACAAGAGTATGAGCAATTGAGGAAGTAGATGTGGCATTCCCAGGCATTGCTAAGGGAAAAGTGAATCTTACTTAATCATATTTGAATATGATCATTTCTTTCTGGAAAAAGTAGCAATAATGTAGAGGTATTTTAGAAATCTGGGCAAAGCTGGTAATTTAGTGGCATAAGCGCCTGCCTGGCAAGCACAAGGTCATGAGTTTGATTCGTGGTATGCCCCCCTCCAAAAAAAATCTAGCAAAGAAAATTAGATGTTACTTTGTCTTTGAATGGAATTCTTATGCAATACTTTAGTAGAAAAATTTTCTATATGTCAAGAGCCTGGTTCAAAAATATTCTCATTTACACTGTTTCAAATACATTTGGAAGTCCCTGGTTAATTTTCAACATAAACATGCATGCATAAACTCTGATATGGATTTCTGTGCAGCAGAAAAGAGGAATTCGTTTTGACAAAATAAACTGCATATATTAATTTAGAACAAAATAAGTGATCAAGTCAAAGGTTTCTTGTAATTCTATTTGTGTAACATTCAATATATGTACAACTAAATATATCATTTATGTGTGAAAAAAATCTTTATAAAAATTAGAGGGTGAGAAATAAAAGATTTAATATACTGGTTAAGGTGGGAGGAATAAAAGTAGATGAAGAATCAGGAAGTGTGATACAAAGAGATTGATTGACATGTAAAGCTAATTTCTCTGCATAAACTGAAGATTTTCATATTCTTTTGTTATTTATTAAAACCTCTATATAAAACCTCTTGGTGAACTTTAGGTTCTGCAGACATGGGCTGGTTGAGGATAAAATGTGTTGAGCTCTAAACAGTTTACTTTTGTTATTATTTTCTCCTTCGTCTTCTTTTTGGAGACTTTAACTTTTTTTGGTTTTGTCGGTTTTATTCTTTACTGTTTCGTTCAATTGTATTATAACTAACTATATAGGCAATTCTATTAGAGATAGCGGGAGGCATTATGGTAACCATTGTTGATCACCTTGTATTATGTTTTTACATTATCTATTATGTCCACCCTTTTGACTTGACCGATTCTGTTCTGTTATGTCACATTTGGTTTTACTCTCTTCCAAAAAAGCAATAAGAACCGTGAGAGCAATGAAACCCAAAATGTGTAATAGTCATGGTACAAAAGAGAGGAAAAGAAAGTGCTCCAAACTATATAACTGCATGTATATTTAAGTGTATAAGATAGAAAATGATATCACAGAGTTTTATTGGATCAATGAACAGAACTGTTTGCAGTATCATTGATGGAATGTCCACTTTACAAGCTTTAATTTTGTGACTTGAACAATTATTTCTAAGATGACAATATGTAATCCATTAACTAGTGATTTCCTACTGTTCATTTTTTTCTGTAAATCTGTACAACTTGTACCCTTTCCCTGCTTTTTTTTCTTTTCTCCTTAAATAAAATTTAAAAAAAAGGAAAAAAAAAAGATTTTACTGAATTTCTGAACATTTTAAAAATGTTGTAGTAGTGAATTTGCCTCTCAGATTGTTTTATGTTATGATATTAGAAAAAACCTTATATCTACTATGTAAAATGTACTATTTTTTTCTTACATTAATGTGTTGGGATAAAATGTTATTTAGGGGATTACATACAATTTATAGTTAAAATAAATTTTTAATTATTTCTCCAAATAATCTTTGTCCAGATGTTTGGTTGTAAATGTGTGAAATATGCTAAGTTTACATGATGCTATTTATGGCTTAATTTTAAACACTTTTACACAGTTAGCTAGTTTGTTAATTTACATATGAAAATTAGCAAATGCTATAGAATTCCTTTGTGCCCTGTATTTTCCATTTTTGTGTTTACAATTTTACATTTAATATTAAAATATTATTTTCTCTGACATTTATAATTTTCAATTGTATCTTCTTTGTTGGATCTTTTATTTTCCTTTAGTTTTTATGAATCACTTAAATTTAATTTGATCTGAAATATAGAACTGCTTTATTTGGAAAGTGAATTATAAATTGGCTTTTATATGTCTCATTAAACTGTTATCCAATAGGCACTACGTTTGGTTGAAATATTCTAAAGTTTCTGGCATGAAAATTGCTATTTCTACATCTCTTGTGAGATTTTTATTTCCATCTTCCCCTCTTTTGCCACATGTCTAAGACACATTGTCTAGTGTCTTAATACATCTTAGTTTAATTGAAGAAAATCCAATTGTCAAATGTTATATTTGCATATATGCTTTATTGGCTGGGCAAAGCAATTAAAATATTAATTTTGCCTCCTTTTCCTGGCAGTACACATGTAAGTTTGATCTAAATTATTGCTTTTGAAATAATTTAAATATACCTGTATACTTGTACTATGAATCAATATTGGATTCGTCATGATCTATTAGAAACTATTTCCCTCAGCACAGTATTTAGAATTATTATTAAATTCTGTTTTTCTGGAGACAATTTTTATTTTTTGTAGGTCCCAGGTGGTCGTGTCTATTCTACCCAAAATTCTGCTTAAAATTTTCATTTTATACAAATATATCTCAGTCATACTTTAAACCCAAATATTCTGAAATCAACAAATCTCTTATTTTTGTCTTATCTTGCCTCCTGTTCTTGTGTTCTCCTCTGTATTTTAGGTTTCCTATTGCTCTAAAATTGATTGCTTTAAATCCACTTCTGTAAGGATAAACATTATATCATGCCTCCTCTCTTTACTAGTTTGTCAAACTGTGTTTGAGTGATAACAATTTGAATGGAGGGAGTTAATCTCCATATCTTGCATAAAAGATGTAAATTCTTTTCATTTCACATTTCTTATCTCTTCTTTTTCTTTCTGAACCCAATTTTCATTCATTCTGACTCGCATTTATTGGTATTATGTATTAAAGGAAATATTAACTATGGCATGTTGATTTTTGTCTAGAAACTACTTTAAGTACTTTAGGAAGCAAATTAATCTTTCAGTTGAAATCAATCCATATAAATGGAGGACATGGAGAAATGTTCATAACACTTTCATGGTTGGATTGTTCGCAGAAAGGAGAAGGAGCTGCCAGCCCAGTGGACAGCGTTACACAAAGGAGATAGAATTTTCTTGCTTCTTCTAATTTAATATGCAGATTCTATGGACCATAAAAGGTAACCTTTCCAAGAAGCAAGTTAGAGATATACTAGTCATTTACATATTAAATGTCATTTTTAGTCAAAACTTTTAAGATAAAAATATTGCTAAAAGACACAATAACCTAAGACAGAAAAGGCAGTCATCTGTGAGTAAAAACGGACAAATTTTCACTCTTTATTGTAAAAGAGCTAAAACATGTATGCTTTCCTCAGCAAACCTATGTATCCTTTCAGGAACATTAAACTCCCATGAAACTAATTTGTCACAATTCACTTCATGTTTACAAGTTAATATTGAGTACGAAAGTCCACAGCATATTGACAAGGCTGCCACTTGCTTCCCTGTTGATAGCATATATAGCCTCTAACTAATCCTTCTTGGTTCTGAAAAAAAAAAAGCCAGGATCAGTCAATATTGTGTCATTTCAATATTAGTACATTTGCCCACAAAATCCTACATAGATGGAGATAAAAGCCCTACAACAAGCAAAGAGGACTTTTTTTTTTCCTTTGTCACAAAATATTGATGAAGTGCTTTATTTAGGGGGAGATCTCATTAATTATTTGATTTACAGAAGAAGAAGGCCTAGAGAAGTGAGTGCCTGGCTAATACCATGATGTACCATCTTGAGACTTAAGATCTTTTTAATGTATTCATCAGGGGTGCATCTGAAAGGGGAAAGAGTGAGCTGAATGGATCCATTAATTTAATTGAAGCGAGCTCAGACAAGAGATAAAACATCGCAGCCTGTTCCTTTTCATGAGTACGAGCGAGCACAGTAGTAAACAGGCAGAAATACAAATACACGCAAAAGAAATAAAGGTACACAGAGACTCTAGAGACTTCAAGGCCATGGGATCTCAACAGATGCAGAGGTGAATTAACCCTGAAGAAGCCCTCTTCGTGCACTGCGGTCACTGTTCAGTCTTTCTTGGAAACTGAAATACCCCGAGGTTGCATGTAAGTAATTTAGACTTCCTAAGGCAAAGTTGTATTTACTCTTTTCTCTTTATCACCCCTCCCAATTTTTGAGAAACAGGCTTCATCTTTTTCTCTTTAAAGTCATGGGTGAAGGAGAGAAAATAGGTTTCCAAGATCTCAGACTCAAGCTTTGAATGTTCTCTTGCTGATACCTGGTTTTTGAAATGGAGTAGTCACAAAAGTCTTTTAGTTCTGAAGAGGTTGAGGCCTCTCAGTGCATTGAAGATGACTTTCAGTGAGGAGCATCATGATTGTACCCAGCATACTCATTCTGCGCGTGGTTGTGCATAAGCATACAAAACAAACAAGGATGTCTCTTAGCTAAGTACAAAGACTGTTCAAACTTAGACCATCTGAAAACAAAAAGAAAATAGTATGCTTAATCAAATTTCATTCAGATATTTATAAAGCTCTTATGACCCTGAATAGGAGGTAAAGCCATTATGTGCACATTATTGATATACGATCTTTTTAATAAAAAGGTAAGAAAAATTATCATTAAAAAGATCTGTCAAACTGCTTCTTATAGATGAGAGAAAATGAACAATTTTTAAAGGAAAAATAGCAGTTAGTCAAATGAGATTATATTCAATATTATAATTTTAATATCAAAAATAAGATGGGTGTATAAAGACTCCATTGTGATTTGGCATATAAAATTTAAACTGAATGTAAAATGTAGATTTTTAAAATAATTATAGTATATTTTTGAACCTATAAATTGTGATAGAAATTTTAATATTGATGTCTATATCCCAGTAAAATGCAATAAATTATTTAATCATTTTAAGAAGAAATCTGTCCTAATTATTGAAGTGTTTAAACTTTCCTAAAATATTATGCATATAACATCTAAGATCTTTTAGTTTTTCTTTTAATTTTCATTAATTTTATTCCTTAAGTGAAAACAGTATACCTTTCCCAATGCAAAGAAAATTCTTTCATGCTTTGGAAATTATTTTATCAGTAAAAATATTTTTCAAAATAATATTTTAAATGGAATAATCATCACATATGAAAGTTAGAAATAATTGCTATTATTTGTGTAAACTTTTATTAATTCAATAGCATCATGTATGATTTATGGTAAGCTATTATGTTTCAAATATTTGAATACATAGTTACATTCAAAATTATTTGGAGGAAAAAGAAGTCGCTAATGCTATACCTTTAAAAAGATTCTTTAAAGTATTTAAACAGAAAATCAAAAATGAAGCAACATAGGTGCTATATCTATCTCAACAAATGCAACCTCATCTGCCAGATGACATGTTTGGGAACCAAGCAGCTTCTTTAACATAAATTCAATCATTTCCCAATTGTTCATTGATTTCATATATTAACTTGATTTATTCAAATGGTTCAACCTGAGTGCAAGATTGTTTACATCTTTCTTTCTTGACATGAGTCATTGGAGATTTAAAATAAAAGAACTATGCACTCAGCCATCATGTGGCAATGATTTGAAAGAATTTGTCTTTAGGCCTTTAGCCTTTGATTCACAGAAAGACCTTCTGAAGATAACCATGAACCGAAGGGACTTTGAATCCCGGAATCACTTCTGACTACACCTGATAGCCTTCCTAAACTTCCGATCTCTCTCATATTTCATTTCCTTTTACTCCTTCTTATTTCAGACAGAGAACAAAGTCAGTTTCTCTTGATTTTCTTACTACCAGAAGCTTTTTTTTTCTTGTACATGGTTAGTTTCATAATTCTTTAACATTTAGGGCAATGGTAGTTTATTACACAGTGTGTAGCTGATAAAAATCTTGTGGAGTGAATTCTATCAGGATGCACTTTTTATTTTATTTTTGGTCATTCTTCTCTACTGGCCCGAGCTAATGTGAGTGAAGTCTCATCATTTCTTATTCCAACCTAATTAAGTCCACTCTCCAGAAATCACATAATCTCTTTACCCCATGCCCTTGTTTCCTGACTTTTCACCTTTGTACGTACAAATTCTGTAATCACTTAATGATACATTGCAAATTTGAGCAGATATACAGATGTTTCTTAATTGTAGCTTTTCCTTTTAATCTTTACAATTTATTTCTATAAACAAAAATGAATTACGAGGTAAAATTTGCACCTTTTAAAATAAACTATATCACTTTTTCCTGGAAAAGTTTTCTAAAAATAGAACTTTAAAAGAACTTTTGTACATTTTTAACATCAATATGAAAATCTTGAAGATATATTTTTTTAAAATATAAGCTGTTCTTCTACTATACCTGGAAGAAAAGGCTATTGATAAAGGGTCTCTCCTTAAAATTTAGTTTGCCTGTGAATTGAAGTGATGAGTAAGATTTAAAGGGATGGAGGGACTTGCATTTCTTAACATGTTTGTGATTAGTCCTCCTAAAATAGGTATCTGTCACCTACATTAGCCAGTCACAAATTCTGCAAAACCAGGTGCTTTAAAAATGATCCTGCATAGAGCATGAGCTTCTCATCAGGTAGGTCACAATTTCTTGTAGGCGATGAGCCTAATATATTTATGATAAAATTGGTTTAATATAAAACATATTGTGTTTTATAAATCTAGTAAAGTGCAAAATTATAGGTAAGATTTCCAAATAATACAGCCAAAAATTGTTTCTTTAATGGAAAATTCCAAAGCAGACAGCAGAATAATAAGTACTATTTGTGGGAGGGCTAGAAACTTGAGTGAATACATAATTTGGGTTTAATTTGGTACACTCTGCAGCTTGAGATGAGCTTTTCTCTATTCTCCTAGAAGACCTTAGACTTTTTATTCCCGAGTACATATAATATGTAAGAATACTTAGTGGAATTACATCCTTTCTTATAAACATTGTATATTTTTAAGTGATGTGAGAATTTCATAGCTGTCCTCTGCAACACATACACATACAATACTGTCTTCTTGAATTTTTATAAACACTAGCTTACTGACCTAAAATTATTTTGTTATGATACAGTTTACAATGATGCACTGTCAAAAATTTTTGTCTCTTGTGTTTCCTACTAATAATTAAATTTATTTATTTTTAAAGGATTTATATTCTTAAATAAATAATATTTTGCTTTCTTTTTTAAAATTTTATTTAAAAAGAAAGAAACAAAACAGAAAAAAAGGGTAGTAATAATACAGAATTTCATTATGCCTTCTTTAGAGGTGATAATAAAAGAAATTCCACCAAATACACATGTATCATTATTGCCTTCTTATAACTACTTCATTAATTTTTACAGATAAGTCTATATTTATAGTATAAAAATAGGTCTGTTAGAGTGACTGGATATATAAATGTGAAGAAAATCACTTATTAGCCACTGAACATGTTAAAAGTAAGGTTTATATTATCTATATAGTAAAAATTCAAGTGAGTGGAATGCACACTCTTCTACAATTTAAGAGAAAATTTAAACTGAAGATATAAACTTGTACTTTATATCTTTATTACTTTAAATATATATGATATCTAGAATTAGGAACTTAGATATTATCCTTGAGAGGAGAGAATAAAACTGCAGGTGTGACCTCTTACTTACCCCAATATTTAAGGCTTCGAGGACATTGGGAAGCATATTAGGAATAAGGAAAGCAGATTTGAAAAGGAGGAAGGAAAAGGAAGAGCATATGTCCCTAGAAACCAAGTGAATAAAAAATTTTAATGGAAGTTCATGTCAGCCAATCTTAATATTTTTATACATATAACAACAATAAGGGTAGTATAACAATACAATAACAGTTCTTTCTAAAAATTTTCTGCTAGAGAAAATCTTTTATTAATTTTTTAGTTTTTTATTATAAAAAGAAGAAAACCAGAATTAAGTTACAAAACAAGACAATAGGAGATTAATAATAATTAATATATTGCAAATAGTTATCTTCAGGGTAGTTACTCAGGGGATAAGATATAAGCATGAGCTATTATACAAGCAATATTAACCTAGCCTTTATTTTCAGTGAGCTAAAATACACTAGCAGTATACCTTTATACCTATCTTAGCTATAGCAGAATAGCTATCTTAGCTATATATATATATATATATATATATATATATATATATATATTTTCTTTCTTTCCTTTTCCATTTTCTCCCATCACAGTTTCTCTTTTCTTTTGAACAATTTCTTCCCAATTCACAATATCTATTGTACATTTTGGGTCTTATTTATTTGTTCAGCTTCTTTACACAGTGTTCACATATGTGGGTCTGATTTATTTCATCAATGAGCATGGTTTCTTGTTGCATTCATTAACCTATAAACCTCAAGTTTATTCTTCTTTATGGCTAAGTAGTATGACATCATATAAAAAAATCACATTTTTTTTCCATTCCTCAGTTCATGGGCATTTGTTTTCAAGATACAGCTATTACAAATTTTGCTACTATAAACATGGGTGCACATATATTGCTGTGATATGTTTTAACTTTTTCCAGGGAGATACCCAGAAGAAGAGCTAGATCTAACGAGACATCTAGTCCTAGTTTATTGAGGAATTTCCGCACTGATTTCCAAATGTGTGAGTTTACACTCCCTCCAACAGTAGAGAAGTATTTCTCGTTCCCCACAGCCCAACAGCATTACCTATTGGTTCATTACTTGATGATAGCCAGGTTTCCAGAGTGAGGTGGAATCGTCATGTATTATTTGCATTCTTTAGATGACCAATAATGTAGAACATTTTTTTCATATTGTTATTTGGCATTTGTACTTCTTCATCTGAGAAATGTGTATTCATCCCAAATGCTTATTTTTGATTTGGTTCTTTGAATTTGGAGATATAATTTTTCATTCTTTATATGTTCTATATATATATAAGTCTTTGAGGGATAATACCAGATTCAGAAGTGTAACTGGGTACAAACTCAACATTCAAAAATCAATAGTATTCATATACACAAGCAATAAACCCACACAGAGGGAAATCAGGGAAACCACACTCCTTACAATATCGTCCAAAAACTGAAATAATTGAGAATCAGTCTAACAAAGGGAGTAAAACATCCATACACTGAAAATTTCTGAAAAAAGTGATCAAAGAGAATATCAGAAAGTAGATAGACACACCTTGCTCGTGGGTAGGAAGATCCAACATAGTGACAATGGCCATACCTCCAAAATTGCTTTACACACTTAATGAAATTTCAATCAAAAACCATTAGCATACCTCACATAACTAGAGAAAATATTCATCAAATTCATTTGAAACCAGAATGGACCTAAAATAGCAAAAGTAATTCTGGGCAACAAAAGTAATTTGGGGGTATCACAATCCCTGATTTGAAATTATACTACAAATGTACTGTAATAAAATCAGCATAGTACTGGAAAGAAAAATAGACCTAAAGATCAGTGAAAGAGAATTAAATATGCAGATGAAACTCCATATACTCTAGTTCCCTATCTTTGAAAAGGGGGCCAAACATGTTCACTGGAAGAGAGATAATCTTTTTATTAAATGGCACTGGAAAAATTGACTTTCCACATGCCAAAGACTTAAATTAGACCCATGTCTCTCATCATGCTCTAAAATAAAACTAATTGAGAAAATTTTTATTAATTAAAATTTTTAAATTCATATTAATGTACCCATTTTATTTCTTAAATTTTTAGTTTAAGAGATGTCATAATTTAGCTGTGGGCTGGAAGAACAAAGAAGCTGACTCATGCCTTCTCATGAGCCCCGCTGTGCTTGTAGACTGGAAGGAGGACCAAGAAGCCAACTTGTACCTTTCTGGAGTCAGCAGCTACCATATGGGCCTAGAGGAGAACCAAGAAGCCAAGGCACACCCTTCCATGAGCCAGTGGCAGTTGTGTGTTGAGTGGAGAAACAAGAAGCCAACTTGTACCCCCTCATTGGCCAGCAACAGCCATGCAGGCAAAAAGGAGAACCAAGAATCAGCTGCCCTCCCGTGAGCCACCTGGTGTGTGGGCTGAGTCAAGAGTTCCCCTCCCTCAAATAAGCAACCAGCTGATTTGAGGAAACACAGACTGAGGTAATAGCAACTGAGGTAAAGTTAATTTAATGCTTGTGTTATTTGATAGACTTGCAGGCCTAAAATCAGTAGTCTGAGCATCTATTTATAGGATCACAATAAGCAATATAGCAACTATGACAGATTTCCTTATATCTTGTTTTTGAAATAAAGAAATAGAGATGTCATAATTAATGACTAACATGTTATAATCTAGAATTAAACCTAAATTTTAATTAGAAAGACAGTTATTGTTATTTGAAACTTATGTATGCATATTATTATTTTATTGAAATTATGATAAATATAGTGTTTTAAGTACAATTTTGAAAAAGTGAGACCAGATACTTTGAAAAATTCAAGTTTATTTTCTACATTCAGATATAATGTATGGAGTGAATGTTCCTGGTTTCAAATTAAATATAAACAGCCATCACCACAACCTCTTCAAAACATCACTTTAAAGCCAGTGTATAAAATATTTTATTCATGGGTTAAGCCAAACTATTTCTTCCTCATTTTACAAAGTGCTTTTCAAAGATAATGAGGTGAAATAAGGATCATAATATTGAAATGTAAAAAGCAAGTGCATACATGCTGGTAAATTTACCTCTTGGAGATGTAATCATCCTCTTATTTGACATTTTAGTTTGTGCCCTCTTGTCTTCAATTGCCACTATATGTTTATATTGGGAAGTATTCTAAGGACATTTTGGGTTCTCTAGAAGTCATTACTAGCAGTAATAAGAAAGCTAATAATATGGAACTGGAATTTTCTATAAGTTAAGCAATGAAAATGAATATTGAAATTAATCAAAGCTCAAAAAATCAGAATTAGAAGTCCTTCAGTTTGGATCAAAAAGAAATGACTGTGAGTCTTGAATTATCTTAGTTAACAGTATTGTGTTTAAAGTTTCAGGACCGAAGAATACTGTGCACAAGATTATTTTTGGCATATGATTTTTAATGAAAAATTTGCTTTTTAAAGTCATGCCATTGGGTTTTTTATATTATTATGTTAAATTTAAGCCCTCAGAAATCTGCACATAGAAGTTTTACTGATAGGTATAGTAGGGTCTACCATTGTAAGTAAATTTATCATTGAAATGAAATTTAAAGACTTATCTATTAAATTGTGTTACTATTAAATGTCTATGTCATGTGACTCATTATGACTTTACAACTGAAATAAAATTTGGTGTTTTCATTAAGTTCTTCCTTTTAGAAACTATTGAGATAGACACACAGTACAAGTAGATAGGGCAGAGCAGGTACTTACTAAGTAGAAGAGGTCATCAGAGCATGACAGGTGCTCAACAATTGGGATGCTGGGTATTTGGAGATGGCAAAGATATGGAAAGGAAAACTATAAATACATAAATATACGATCTTCTCTCAAAATTACCCTCATCAACTTCTCCAGATTTATTTTTATCTTGCTCACTAAAGGTTTTTACATTACTCTGGCAAATAACACTGAATTATGGAAGGAGGATTTTAAAGAAAGTTTTTTATTGATGAAAGTGAGGAAATCGGCATTTTTGAAGTAAGGCCATTAGTGTGTATTTAGAAACATTTCCAGTTATTTTGAAAAGATAGTTCAAGGTAATATTTAATTAATGAATTGGAAAATTCACTATGAAGTATTACATAAAGTAGAATCCATGAAGCACACAATGTTTAAACAGGTTTCACCATCTTTATAAGCTGAGTACATTTTGACGTTTTAATCATGCAGTATCCTCATAGGGTTCTTTCAATAGTGACATTTCTAATAGGACTCTACCACATGCATATAGAATATCTAATTAGTATTCCTCCAAACATATTTCCCTGAAATTCTACTCCATCTATTAAGTGCTGCCTGGATTTTCTGAAATTTTCATTTAGTCGGTTTTTTTCCAGTCTAGGCACCTGATACAGAATGAATAGGAAGATGTATGTTTTACCCATGTGTATCTTATCCTTCAGCAGGTCCTTGGGGAGGGTTCTCAAAGTGAAGAAGTAAGGGGAAAAATCTCAGATGTGAAAGAGTATCATAGGAATCTACTTGTATCATATTGTCTAATGACCCATTACCAAAGCAGTCGTGTAACTAAATCCAGAGTTAAAATATGGATCATGATTCCTGACTCTTTCAGGGTGACAAGGCCTTGCAAAGTCACATGAATGAAAGATTAGACAGAAAGAGGGGTGACAAAGAAGAGCACATTTGTGTAAGCTACTCACAACTCTTCCATTTGAATTTGATATTTGATCTTTTGTAAAAATGAGATGGTAGGGTTAATATTTAATCTATTCTGCTTTCTTCCTGGAAGATTATTTCCCATAAACATACAAAAATGTCCTGAAAACACATACAAAGTATATTTTCCTTTTTAAAATAGCAAATTGGTATTGAAAGAAAGAATTTTTTCTTTCAAATATCCCCAAAACCCTAGTCCTACTAAAATAGCAATATTACTCTGGTAGCAGTTTAACTATTTTGTTAAATTTTTAAGGTAATGAGTTTCAAATTTTAAAAATTAATTTAAGAAAACATTATATAATGAAGGATGGAGAAGGGCAGATAAAAATGAATCTGAAAGATAATTTTAGATTATTATTCTGCCACTAAAAATCAATATAGCAATTTACAAAGTGATTTCCACTCATCACACAGAACATTAATAAATTTGTGACACTATGAATATCTTATTTATTTAATAATTATATAATTACAGCAAAACTGATTTAAATGGTAATAAATAACTAAAATCAAAATGATAGTAATATAACTTATCACAAAGAAATTAATATTCTGTTCCAGAGGAAAGAATTTTCAATGACTCTAGTATTTTTTTGAAATTTAATGGTCTATGATTGGTCTTCTCTAAACCATATCTCTTAAAGAATATAAAAAAAACATTTTGATGGATTTCATCTCTAAAACAACAAAAAAGATGGAAATTGAAATCAAATTTGTGATAAGTATAGATAAGTATTAAAACTATTCAAGCAAGGAGTAAAAATTAAAATAATAAAGATGAAGAAGCCTACACACAAGAAAGAATTATCTCTGTTAAAAATAACATTTAAAATTGTAGAAAAGTTTAGTTGATATGACAGCTTTGGCTTAGCTAATTTAGAATCTAGTAATAGTGTCCTTAAGGCATTGATTGATTTACATATGCACCAGAAAGGATTAAGTCAATTATGCTCTCTAATATGATTCAAATTAGCAAGATATACATTGCTACAGCTCCTGTTCATGCCTTCTTATGTTTTAGGTGAATTTCCACTATAATAGAAATTAACCCAATATGGCTGAAAATTGCTAACATAGATTTATTTGTTTTTAACAGTGTGACAAGTATCATACATCTATTTGCATATCTTAAATTTTCAAGGCTATTTAGAGAAAGAAAATGCTTAAAAGTGTTAAATGTCAACCATTATAAGAAACTATGGCACAGTTTCATTAAGCAGACAGATTACCTGGGCTGATCAAAGTTACAACTCTGGAGCCAAATTAGACAGCAGAACACAGACAAATTTACAGATTTTAAGCAACTTTTTAAACACAATTTCGCTAAATTGCTAAATTTTCTAGGCTGACCTTGAATTTACAATACTCCTCACCTTGCCCCTTAGAATTCTGGGATGATAGAAATGTGACTTCACATGAGGCAGATTTCAAACACTATCAAAGACTTTCCCTTATGGTCAAAGGTAGTAAAAACGTCCCTATTAGGCACTCGTACTTCTTTTGACAAGTGTTTATTTCAATTGCTTGTTTTTTCACTGGTCCGTTATTTTGGAGAGTCTAATTTTTTTTGTGACCTTTATATACATTGTATGTTAATCTGTGCTAGAAGTAACTGGCAAAAAGTAAACAACGGTTATCATCAAGAACTCAAAAAAAAAATTGAAACAAAACTTTTTGACAAGATTGTGGAGAAAAAGTACTTCTAATTGTTGTAGAAATATAAAATATAAAGTAGTACAACCACTATGGAATACAGGATGGAGTTTCCACTAAAAATCATAAATTACATTTCTCTCAGCTCTCTCCTTACTGGGTATCTTCCTAAAAGAATTAAAATCCTTGTATTATGGTGACACACACATACACATACCCATTTTTATAGACAAACAACTCAGAACAGCTAAATCATAGAAGTGGCCTATATGAACATCAATAGTTGAACAGATAAAGAAAGTGTGATATTTATACGCAATGGTGTACTTCTAAGTCCTAAAGAAGAATGCATTTGAATAATTTGTGGTAAAGTTAATATGCCTTGAGACTACAATGCTAATGACAGATTAAGTATCACATGATTCATCTTATATGTGGAAACAATATAAATAATTAAAGTGTAAAATTAATCACCGATAAATGAGAAAAATAGAAAAAAGAATGTGGCAATAGGAAGGGGATGTAGGGATGGAGGAGATGGACATGAAGGGAGAAAGGATGCATATACTATGTATCAAAATCATGTACCTGTAATGGGAGCTGAGAATCAGATAACAATTGTTTTTTCTAAACTAAAACCTCAGTATTCAGATTTAATGGCAGTGTTGGAAATCTGAGCTAAATAAATGAATTTTGGTTTTCATTTTTGGTACTTAGTCTCTAGAAGTTCTTGACCACCATTGGTCAAATTATGAAGAGTGAAAATACAATGATATAGAGATTGAAATAGAAAGGACAGGATAATACAGATAGAAAAATACTGATGAAAATGGTAAACAATAAACATAAGTTGAGAACATGAAATATATATAAATACCACAGTATTCTTCATGAATGTTTTTATTTCACGTAGCATATTATAGGAAAATATTATAAATGGTTGAAGAATTATAGAGAAATTTAGTCTTTCATACATCCAAGTTATTTTAGGCCACCAAGGGCACAAACACCGAAACACACACCCAAACACACAGACACACACACACACATACATACACATACCCCACACATCTAAAAACATAAACATGCAGGCCAAGGTTATAACTCAGCAGCACGAGGT